AATATATTGCAAAAAGAAATGGCAGGATTCTAGACTCTTATGAATAAAACTGAAGACATATCTCTGTAACGATTTATCAAATGATTCGAGGACACTGATTCTTGGAGGCAAATCATCTGTATCAAGACTTTGTTTAATGATACAGCCACTGTATTCTGGGTGGGTGGATACCACTAATGATACCCTGCTGATACAGGGAAGGCAATGTGCTTTCATTAGCAATCGAGAGAGAAACAAAGGGCAGATAGTAGTGTAGAGAAATAGATAAAGTAATTAAGGTGCAGGTTCACTTTCAACTTTACCTCTCAGCACTCCTCAGGAATCCTCACACTCTGCTTGTTCCCCTACTTGGAATGGGCACTGAAATGCGGTATCAAAACGGCCCCGGGGACAACTTCAGACCGTCCTCATGGAGCAACAAGCTTCAGTCGGAAATATTAAGGTGCCATTTCACTTTTCATGGACAGTCCAGCTCAGAAAACACTTACTTATGATCTTATTAACACTATTGTAAATTTAACCACATTTCAGAATGACTTACTTTTTGCTTTTATCCAATAGTTAGTAGTGATGATTCTACTAGCTTATTTGTGTTACTTGAAACTTATGTGAGAAGTGAGAACCATTAATCGTGACGTGTTTACTGTCTTCAATGACTGCAGGTCTGAGCCTCTCCTGCTTATAAAGGCTCAGAAAGGTGTTAGTCAGTTAGTCAGCCCTGCTGAGCAAGAGTCAGGGGGGAAGACAGCTACTCGTCTGTTTTCCAACAATGAGTCGTGTTGCATGAGCAAAGCTTCGACTAATCCCACCTTAGATGACAAAATGCAATCTAAACATGATCTAAACCTCATCTTTAATACTGTATACTATTAATTTTTAACCATTTTGTTTGATTACAACTAAAGTAATGATAAATCCTTAAAAATACTCGACCCTATCCCCAACCTTTGATTTCAACAGAACTTTTTGGATGGTTATGTAAAATCAAAGAGAGGGTTCAGGCGGGTGCGGCTGTGAGCAGAATTTGTATTGTATCATAATTTGAAACAGTAGTTTACCTTTTTTAAGAATGTGTATTTTTATTAATTCTGTTTTGCACCAAAGACAATATGAGGAGTTCTGTTTTATTTGAACAGAACTATGCTTTCAATGTAAACAAAAACAAAATCTAGAATACAATATGTAATGAAAACTTAATGCACCATTTCATTTATGACCACTTTCAATAAAGCTGTAGCTTGCACCATAATAACCACAATTCAACCACAAAGATAGAAGCTGATGTTTTGTATTATTCTTTTTGCTGCAGATGCATCCTTTTTATTTATTTCTATAAACCAATGCAAACCACACTTTCAGTTATTTATTCACAAAAATGAATAACAACAGGCCCACTTCTCCATTATGCACTGCTTTGTATTGTTATAGTTGCAATATGACAAAACATAAAACAGTTCGAGTGTTATGAATACTTTGGCATGGTATGGTTCTAAGATCAGAATTCTAAGAGGTTTAGTGTGGATTCAGTTCTGATTATTTTCTTGATTTAAACTAACTCAGTACAACAACAACTATGACAAAATCCAATGGTTTGAACAGGGGTAAAGGTCACTGGCATAAAAAAAAATCCTAATGGATTTTCCAGCCATTCTCTCGTTGGCAGAGCTTTTGCAGTAGCTTACTAAGTAGACACATGGAAATAACAAGGAAATAAGGCATACACACATTAAAGGAGGGAAAAATAAACTCAACCTGGACCCTTGTAATCAATCACACTTATTTCATCATCCAGTCCTGTTTTCATTTATATATTCTCCTTCCTCTCCTTGATAACAACGTGTAAAAGTGTGTATGTCCATGCTTATTTTCTTCTCAAATCTTGGTTTCCCAGGGAACAGCTTTACAACTACGGTATTCCAGACCACCCTTTTTATATTTCACATTAACAAGCAAGGACAAATGCAATGTTTTATTGCTCTATTACTGTGCAACAGTGAATGTGTGCACAAGTAAGAAAGGTTGACTTGGCTGGCAAACCGCTGAGATGAACTTATGAATAGGTAAGTTGGAAAGAAAATAGTGAGAGTGCAGTTGACCTTCATCCCTTCTCTGTAACTAGAGAAATGGTTTAATCTAGCTAGAGAGTTGCACCAAAAGCAAAATCACACAGACACAGCATGTACACAGAACATGGTTTCTTACAGTCACATATAACCCCACACACCCAACACAGACACAGTGAGTGGGGCAGTAAATGTCACTGGGAGGAAATGAGGGCAGCTGTGCTTTTATGGTTTCATTTGGTCTGTTATATTTATCTGACCCTCCCATGTCCCCTCTCTTACAAACACATTGATTATTCATTCTCCATTTTGATAGAAGGTGTAACATTAAGGTCGAAAGGTAAGCTAGTTTTTTTCCTTTTCAACTCAAAAATGCAAATGCTGAAAAAGTTTCACAAACATTCACATTACACCAGAGAGCTGGTCAGTGCTGCCCTTTCCAAGCTCTTCTGGCTGCTAAGCAACCGTGTGGGACATTGAATTCACATGATTTAATAAAACTCAATAATGTACAATGGTTAAATACTTCCAACTGTGTCACATATGCAGTTGGGAAATCAAAATCCCTCCAATATCCCTCTGTAATGTTTAAATCAGATGCAGACAATTCTGTATGAAAGGAATCTCTATTATAAGATAATAATAGCATGTGAATGTCATGAGAGGGGCTAACTCAGCTTCCCTGCATGGATTGCTGCAAAAGTTTAATTTACAAGTGTTTTTGCATTTATTTTTCTGGCACAGGTGAGAAACCAGGGAGGCTAATTTATCTTCCTGAAAGCACTTATCTGAAATGTTCAAGTGCTTCTGTTCACACTTTCCAGATATTTTAATGTGATGAAAGCTGTTTCACCTTCATCTCAGTCAAGGCTGTCTGTGCAATGAATTCACCAGAGCACCGACAATCGCCTTCAGCACAACAGAGGTGGTTGTTTCTTGTTGGGTACATAAAAAAGATCTGAACTTTAACACTGCAGCTGTTACAAGAATGAGTTAGATTCTGAAAATCTTGATAAAATGCCAAAAAGCAAAGGAGAACACTAAATATGCACATTCTCTCTCATCTGTATTTACACATACTTGTGTGATTGTCTAGGAAAAATAAAATAGTACACAGATTTTTCAAGTTGCACTTTAAAAGGTCCTAGGCTTACCAGGCAAGAATGTAATTTCTGCATTCCTTATATGCCCAAAAAAATCACTTTACAGATAGACATCAAGTAATCCTGTCATCTACAGGTCAGATGGACCCATCTAACATCAAAAAATAAGAAAAAAGCTGGATCTGGATTCAAACACACACACATCATACTGGCTCAGCTAGCCTGCAAGCTTCATTCCTCTCCTCCCTCCACTATCTGGTCCGCTGGGAAGGGAAACCCATAAAATGATTCCCGACACTACGGATCAGAGAGCAGTGCCAGCTGAGATGTCTGATATCAACACTTTTCTGCCTGACTGTGGACATGTCACATCAGAGATTTGCAATGATTTGGGCTGACAGGAGCTCTAGCTGTGTCTTGTCTGCATCTGTGTGCCAGTGATGCTGGCCAACTAAAAAATAACCTAATAGAAATGCTATGGCATGGTCAGCTGTGATTCATACGGAGAAAGAAGCTTGTTTAACATAACTGCAAGATGTGGCTGTGCAATAAACTGCTAATTTATTGTCATCACATTTCAGAGAAACTGCTTGGACTACAATAAATATTATATAATTATTAAAGTACCACACAAAGCGTTTCTGTCTGCCTGTGATTTTTTTTTTCTCAACCATATTGGTCAGTGTAGCATGAACATCTTTTAGAAGGAAAAGACATGGACAGGAGGTAAGTCAGTAAGAAACAAATTCTAAGTTGTTACATTGCCAAAACAGCAATAGTCAGGCAGACAAAATCTTCGAGGATCGAAGCAAAATATTACTATCTTTACTCCAGATGTTTGATAGACTTTTTATTTAAGGCCAAAGCAGAAAGACATCAATACTTTTTTTCCGTATTGATTTATAATTTGTTATATTGTTATCATGAAATTTATTTGTGTTATCTTCTGTAACATCCATTCCTAATCATGCGGCTCTAGTACAGGAGTTGTCAGCTTTTTTGTTGTGAAAAAGACTCCACAATAAATACTTTTAGAACATAGTAAGTTATAATAATAATAATAATAATAATAATAATACATTTAATTTATACTGCACTTTTCATCAAAAAGACATCAAAGTACTACAAGAAAGAAAAGAAAAAAGAAAATACATAAAAATAAAAAATTAAAATAATAATAATAATGAAAAAAATATATAAGTTATAAACACATTTGTCAGAGTGAAAAATGCACACAAAAAAAGGTGCAATAACCTGGTTATATAAGTATTTGCTCATTTGTATCCTTTAGATAAAGTCATGTTTTGCAGGGTTAGAAAAAGATACCAACTATATCTTACACCCATGACACTCTTTGCGTAGCTCACGAGCCACATTTGGCTCAACATGCTTGTTCTGGCAACTTGCAGCTTCTCTCAGGCTTTAGAGCTAAAACAAAACAAGTCTTTACATCTTTGTTTCAAAAGATATTCTCAACCGTTTCTATGGAGGTTGAAATAAAGTCTCTTTCAGCTCAGAACAAACTGGTGCTAATGGAAGCAAAAGGCTGTACAAATGCACAGAAACATATTGAGACCTGAGCTTATTATTGCTTATTTCCTGAGGATTGTCATAGACTTTAAGAACCTATTAAGATTAAATCAGTGGTGAGGTGTGTTAACAGGTTTTAACGCTCGGGATATGCATTAGGATATTTCACATGCAGTGGATAATAACCTGCTTTATTGACAATATTTGTTTTGCAATTAATTCTTTTTTTCTCCTGTCATTTCTCAGACAGAAAGCAAAGGGTTTATTCAGTTTTTTATCTCTCTGTGAGTCATAACTATCTTACCTTCAAGGATGACTTCTTTGCCGGTTTTTTTAAGTGCCTGCACAGCCTCATCATGCGTGGCCTCTCGCAAGTCAAATCCATTGACGGACAGAATGGCATCTCCAACATAAAGTGCCTCAGTCTGGTCAGCAGCAAGGCCTTTGAAAATTTTAGAAATGAGGATGGGCATCTTGTTTTCTTTACCACCTGTATACCAAAAGAGAAAATATGGTTTTACCTTCAGGACTGTCTCAAATAATTGCAGCCTACATTCATTTTGGCACACTGCAATGATTACAAATTTGAAAACAGTGTCAATATATTAAAACATCTTCTAAAAATACTATCTATTGGAAAAGTAAATAAAAAATATGGAAATATCTTTAAAAAGATTGCAGCAGCCGAGTTATCCAACAAGAAAACAAGGATTGTAAGTGCCTTCTAAATGAAGTCCTACAACTGTTATTACTCTGACTGCTGCATTCATCATATTTAAGCCTCTAAATTAAGGGAATGTATGTGACATGTGGTTAAAGGCAGACATTTAGCAGCAATTACTCCACCTGTACTAATTTCAGATGCCACCTATCACACCCTCGCCCTCTTTTTCTCCCTTTGTCATTAACTGAAGGTCACGTAGTATGTCAGTACATCTACTTGTTGCTGCGGGCTGCCATTCGTTGCAAGAAATGTCTCTAATAATGCCAGATGGCAGTCTAGCCTTCCAGCTAGTAAAAATAATCTAAAAAGTGGATTAGATTCCATTAAATTTTCAATACACCTAAAACCATTTGTATCTCCACGGTTATCCCTTTAAATCTATTCCACAGACTGTTGTGCAAAAGTCTTAAATCGTCATTTGTGCCTGTAGAATTTGTTTCAAAAGATACAGATATTCATGTACAGTGATATGAAAGAAGTTTTTGTCTCTGATTTCTTCATTTTTAACTATTTTGTCACAACTAAATGTTTCAGATCATCAAAAACATTTTAACCAATAATTTAACATACTTTCAGGGGGACATAGTAACTGTGGAGAGATTCAAATAGCTGGGTGTTCATGTCAACAATAAACTGGACTGGACTCAGGCCCCGTCCACACGAAGTCAAAACGAACACGAAACGCTGATATTTTCCAAAACGTTTGCCGTAAAGACGGAGACGTAAAATAAATGTGAGCGTCCACACGAATGCATGAAAACGCTGCAAAATGTATGCCAGGCCTGTAAGTGGCGCTGTGGTGCCAAAGCAAAAATAAGCGACGAAATGTTGGGCATGCGCACTAATATTTATACATGGTTGCCCTGCGGGTCCATTTTCGTGGTTCAGTCAAATTCAGGTGCTGAACTATGTCGTCGATATTGCTCTGTTCTTCCTGGAGATATTCCAGAAGAGGAAGATTCTGTTGTAAGCCCGACAGCAGGGTGAGTAGCATTAGCAGCAACGGCGCCATTGTTGTTGTGTTACTGGTCGCGCATGCGTGTTTAGAGGCGACGCTATGATGCATGCGTGTTAAAAAAAATATGCGGTTAGAGCGTAAAGATGGAAACGCGAAAACGGCGTTTCGAAATCTTCCCACTCTGAAGGCTGAATAAAAAAAAGATCGTTTACAGACCCCCGAAACGCCGGCTTCGTATGGATGAGAGGCTGGTTTGGTGAAAAATGTGTGCGTTTAGGCCAGGGTTCGTCTTCGTGTGGACGGGGCCTCATAACACCGACGTCCTGTACACGAAGGGCCAGAGCTGCCTCCACCTGCTGAGGCTAAGGTCCCTTTTAATGAGCCCGCCCCTGCTAAAAACTTTTGATGACTCTGTATCCCTCAGCCCTCCTCTATGCCATCGTCTGCTGGGCCCCAGGTAGCGTAGAGTGGGACATAAAGAGACTAAACAAGCTGGTGAGAAGGGCCACTTCTATCCTGGGCTGTGCTTTGGATTCAGTGGAGGAAGTGGCCGAGAGGAGGGTGTGCACCACCTGACTCGGTTACATTCCAGACTTAGATCTGATACTGAATAGATCATTTAAGCTAAATAAAAAAAAAAACCTGCAATGTCTCTAAAAACAGTCTGTAAAGCAGAATATGCCAACATTCCTTTACAATGATTTAAAACATTGCCTTTGATTGCAGATGCTCAACACCTGTTGTTTCCACCAGTGGTTGAGAGACACTTATTTTCTGTCACACAAAAAGAACTGGGTTGCCTTTTCTCACCTTGGCTATTATGCCGTTATACCTATACCTTTTTATATATACTCAGTTTATCAATGAAATTTGTTGAGTGATCTTAAACATGGATGTGTGTAAACAAACTAAAACAGAGCAAAACTAAGAGGCAAATACTCACAACACTGTAGTTTTCTTAAATTGCCTACTGCCAGATTTCTCCAGGCTTATGCAATATTTCTTGTTTTCATCCCAGTATTTATTGTATCCTAAAAAGGATCAAGCTAAAGTTGATGAAGATGAGTAGGCGGTAAACTGTTGGGGAGGGCACAACTCCTTCACACAAACTCAAAACCACGATGACTCAGAAAAAAATTAAAACAAAAAATTCATCCTCGAATTAAACACTTGTAGAGTAATTATTAAATAAGTTAAACTATGGTTGTAAACTGAAGCAAAATAAAGAAGCCTTGAATATACATTCCACCAGAATAGTTATTTCCTTAGACTGCTTCACCCCAGCAGAAAAAAAAGCATGGCACAATATGGTGGGACCAGATGGTCCATGTTTAAAAGCATCACTTCACAACTGCAGTGTGGGAACATTTTGGGTTAATGCCAAATAAAAGAGAAGAGTTACACAGCCCTAAGCTAGATAAAGAAAAATCACACTTCCTTACTCTGCTTTACAATGTTTCTTGGCTTTGAAAGTCACTTTATTGTAACATGCATATGTCAGTTACAATGACATGAATAGCCACTATAGAACTAAAATTAAAGTAACAAAACATGTTAAAATTCCCCCCAAAAAAACATTTCTAAGACAGGACTTGACAAGTGAGGGTTGTATTTGTAAAGAGATAAGTACAATGAGAAAATAATGAACCAAAATAAACCCCCAACAGAAGCACCCGCTTTCTAGCCCTTAAATCTACAACTTGCAAGAGCAAATGGCTTTTCCAGCCCTGGAATGTCAAGTTATTGTCCATTAAAAGCATGGCTGGTTCACCGTAGATGAGTGTGCTTGGTTTGAGGTATTGCTTTCAAGTCAATAAGTCGATGCAATCAGATGATTTTCCTTAGAATGAAAACTTTGAACCAATTGGACTGTATGATCTGGTTAAATTGTTTTTGTAAATTGCCTTGAGGTGACATGTGTTGTGAATTGGTGCTATATAAATAAACTGAAATGAATTGAATGAGTTGTGCCAATCAAATCGCAAAGAGGAGAGTCTTAGTGTGATGTAAACAATGGCTTCCACTAGCCCACAGGTATTTTTAGGATAGAACAGATCGTAGTACTGTGGTCAGTCATTGAAAAGAAAGATGTATTTAGACTAATGCTGACTGGGCTAATATTTCATATAACAGCTCGCTCTGCAGATGGAAAAACAAATGATGAGTCTCAATGCGCTTATGATTGTTGTGTTGCCAATAGTAGCACACATGGAGGACCAGGTAAAGGAAGCAAAGAAACTTGGACTGATTGAGTTTCAAACTCCCTTAGCTAATTCAAGCATTAAAATGACATGATCCTGTCAAAAGAATCTTCATTTTACTTTAGCCTATCTGTGGCCCATTTTGCATGGGATGTTTTTTTTTTCAGAATTTCAGGATGTTATTACTCATCATCTGTGTCTTAAACTTATTTTGGCAATTTTTTATTTTTTCCTATGAGTCAACTGGCCCAAACATCATCACATCCATAATCTAATTTTAAAAAAAGCTGATATCAAATTGTATCAAAACAAAATAAATCTCAATTAAATAATATATTAAATTTGAACCTCTTGATATCCAAAATGTAACAATATATGTAACTGAGAAGCTTTTGAATTATGTTCCTTTTGCAAAAATGAAAAACAGGGACAAAATGGAAATGTATAAGTGAAAGATAGGGGAACAAAATGAAAAAGGGGCAAACTGACCCAGACTCAGTGACTGGACCTTCATGTTTATCTAAGCTAAGTTTGGTGCATCTTATGCCACTAGAGTACTTATGACAGCACTTCACACTTTGTAGGTTGCCTCTCTCTTTTCATCTGGACAAGGAGGAAAACACATCTTACTTCTAAGAGCCCACAAGAGAGCTAATAATGCCATGGGCATCGAAGTGACAGGGCAATGTCATTTCTGTCAAAATAATTTAATGTCACCATCAAAATGGATGCAGGGCACATCAGGACAACAGCTCCAGTATAGAAAGGTGAATGGCAATTTGGATTACAGTTTTATAAAGCCCTATGTTTTTAGCTCTTTGTCAAAAGATTGATTTTAGCAAATAAACTTTCATATCAGACATCGACAAACTTAATAACAACATAATACAGTTTTCAAATGAGAAAATAACTGTAAAACTAAACTTGGTCCAAGTTAAGAAGTAACTGCCTCTGTAACCTAGTAACAGCCTAACTCCTTCCATCACTTTATTAACTGATTTTAAGTCTTTTTGCTGTGAATGTACATTTGGCAAATCTTCTTCTCAGGACTGATGTAATTCAGTCACAATATTTTGGGCATGGATGGCCTGTTTATTTCATACATTTCTAAGAATCAATGGTGCTTGAGCTTACACCCATTAACTGATTGGGAGACATTATAATTAAGGATTTGCTAGAGTTTGCATGCTTCCATAATTTTTTGCAAGTTTACAGATTCAAAAGGAGGAAAGCAGCTGCAGATCATCCCATTGACCTCATCATGTTTGACCTTGAGAATCAAATTATTTCCGTTAAGACCTGTGTTGGGTTTCATCATAAATATAACAGAATAAAAAGTTCAACTTTTGTCTTATCAGTCCACAGTTTTTCAAAAAGGTTGGTGTGTTGAAATATTCTATTCATTAAATGTGCCTTCTATTCTTGTTGGTCAGCAGTGCCTTTGCCCTAAAGCTTAGGTTTTACAATCGCTTTCCTCTGGAATTATAAATTGTAACTTTACTAGAGAAAACTGACACCTATAGTGCATTACACCTTGTTTGGGCCTTTATGTGACATCCTGGCCTAGCCAGCAGGGTGTTTTTAGAATGACTTGGTCTGAAAAACTT